TGCACTACAAAGCTTGCACAAAGCACTTCCCAGTACTACTGTGTAGTACAAAGCTTGCACAAAGCACTTCCCAGTACTACTTTGCACTACAAAGCTTGCACAAAGCACTTCCCAGTACTACTTTGCACTACAAAGCTTGCACAAAGCACTTCCCAGTACTACTGTGTAGTACAAAACTTGCACAAAGCACTTCCCAGTACTACTGTGTAGTACAAAACTTGCACAAAGCACTTCCCAGTACTACTTTGCACTACAAAGCTTGCACAAAGCACTTCCCAGTACTACTGTGTAGTACAAAACTTGCACAAAGCACTTCCCAGTACTACTTTGCACTACAAAGCTTGCACAAACTACTTCCCAGCACTCGAGGCGAACAAACCCTTCGCTACGCATTCGGGAAAAACAGGATAATCTGGGATGAACATCCAAAATCATCAAATCACCAGCTCAACGCCATCTTACCTATAACTAATCAACATACCCAAAACCTGGAATTCTGCATGCTAATAGTGATCAGCTACGTGATCTCATAAGAAAACGGGGTTACATATCCAAACTCCAGAGTTCCTATGCGTTCTTGCTAAAGGCACGACTTTTGCGAAACACACTTCCCCAAGGCACAACGATTTTTTCCTAAAACAGGTACGACTTTGTCAGCTGCCTGTATAACCCCATTTGACTAACATAGCCATTAACATTTCTGGGTACCCTCTGGAAAACTCACATAGCTATTGAAAATGGCCCATTGAGTTCGTTGATTTACCTCTTAAACATGGTGGATCTTTTCAGTTCGTTAAACGTTTACCAGAGGGTAAATGATCATCAACTATTATTATAACAATGATTCACCATCCATTAACCATCCATTAACCATGATTAACCACCAATGTCACTCACCAATCATCATTGAAGATGCCCCGATTCCATCCGATTCCCCGATGATTCGAATGATTCCAGAGTCCTATGATTCCAGGTAGGGTGTCCTCAATGGGGATCACCTCCCCCGTAGAACACATATTCCCTACAAAGTGTCCAAAGCGTGGGGCCGTTTTCGATATCACTTGGGGTTCACATAACTCCAATGTCACTCTAGTTTATCATACGCAAACGAACGAACTAGTATTCATGGGCTCATGGCAAATCCAGTTGTGGATTCGTTCCCCGTTTCGGTGGTACTTGGCGCTCCTTCCATGGGCTGCAGACTTTCACAGGGACTGTGCAAAGGGAGGTCCTCACGGCGTCATGGGATCAGAATGGGGGCCAGGGGATAATCCATGGGTTTATAGTGGATGTACCCATTAAAAATGGTGATTTTCTATAGCTATGTTAGTTTACCAAAGGGTATATCTCGCATTTATCTGGTTGGTGGTTTCAACCTACCCCTCTGAAAAATCATGGAGTTCGTCAGTTGGGCAGTTGGGTTGATGATTATTCCCAACTGAATGGGAAAAAGAGATGTTCCAAACCACCAGCCAGTATATCATATCTGTCAATGGATTTAAATGGTATATAATCAACCATAATGCTATTGATTCGGGATATGATGGGGATGTTCCAAACCACCATAATTGTTAATGGTTAAACGGTTAGATTGTGTTAGAAGCTGCGAACACGCCAGCCGCCATGTCGGCCCTTCAAAAAAAGGTGGGACTGGGACTGGCTGGGGATTTTTCAGCTCATGGATTGTGATCATCCCCAATAATATATATATGTATATATATATATATATGTTGGATAGTAAAACACCATATAACACCATAAAACACCATATAACAATCAAGCAACAACATCTAACATACATAACACCATATCATCCCCAATGATCCCCAATATGGATGTTGTGATAGTCACGTTTTTCATAATCAACCAACAAACGTTTCTCACATTGCTCATGTGAAGCGATTTTTCCCGGGAAACGATCCAGATGGAACTCACCCATCCAAAGTGAGTTTCACCATTGTGATGCAGCCCTAAGATCCACAAGAACAGGCCCATCCATCTCGAGGATCACCTGTGAACATGTGCAACTGAAAACATCGAGACATTTGGTTAACATATATGGCAAACAAAGACGTTGGAAAACACGGATCAAAATCACCAATGTCGCAAATGTATGGGCTTCCTCAGCCAAGTAGGCTGCCCCTGAAGTCGACTGCAATCCCTCCAGGCGTTTGGCATGGGAAAATGGTCATTTCTGGTAGATCATCGAACTCATTGGGGCAATTTTCCATGGCTATGTTTAAAATTACCGGAGGGTACCCTCTGGTAATTTAACATAACTATGGAAAATGGCCATTTATAGTGGATTTTCCCATTAAAAATGGTGATTTTCCATAGCTATGTTTAAAATTACCGGAGGGTAAGCCTCTGCAGCTGCAAGCCAGTGCAAGATGTGTGATATCAAGGTATACAAGCTGATCACTATGCACCCGATTGCACAGTAGCTGTATACCACCAAGCTCATACCTCCAAGAGTGAGTTGGTTTATGAATTCGTCTATTCGTCTAACTAGATATATCTACCATACATCCATAAACCATCGTAATTCATCTGTTTGTAAGCCCCATCCATAGTGCGTGATGCTGTGTCTGCCATAAATTCACACCATGCGGGGATCATGATCCTGTATCATCCTAAATAAGTCTCTATGGTGTAATATATATATATATATCTACATAATTTTATATAATGATATATAGTTATAGTCATAGTTATATAATTTATCAATGTATGAACCAGCAACAAACTAATGAAACTGTTTGCAGGACCCCAGCTGCAACTCGATGTCGTCCTTCCATTTGAAGGTCAAGCAGGGAGCTGCACGTGGCTCACCACCCAAGGAGAGTAAGGTGCTGGGAAGATCTGCGGAACCTGCGAACTGTCTTTGTTGAGTGGTTCATAGGAAGATGTACAGAAAAACCGGCTTGCTAAGCCATAAATCAATATGACATACATATATATATATAATATCTATATTATCATCCATTAATGACAAGGACTTTTGGATAATGATAATGATAACGATAATAATATTGCTACTTGGTGGCTCATCCCACGAATCCTAGCTGAGTTAGTTCACCCTGGTTTTCTTAGTGGGATAAGTAAGATTAATCCACTTATAACTAGGGTTATAACCTACTTTGGGATGAGCCACCAAGTAACCCATAAATCAATATGACATACATTTGCATTATCTCATCAGTTAGAATACTGATAAGGACTTTTGGATCATGATAATGACAGCGATCATGATAAGATTAGTGCTTAGATCTGCTTAGATTTGCTCGTGAAACCCCAAGTCATCGCGATGATCGTGGGATATGACCAACATGGGGATGACCAACATGCGTAGCATCAACGGAGAGAACCCCATTAACGGAGAGAATAAATGGCATATGAGGTGCATAGTTTATAATAGAATATCAATATAGTATAATGATGTATAATGGAATATGGAGGGTATAATTGTTATATTCCGGTGATGGATGGAATATCCTCAACTCATTCCGGTGATAATGGAATATCAATGGAGGCTTCCTCAAGAACAATGGGTGCCCAATGAGTTAACAAATTTGGGGTAGCCAAGGTAGTATGGCAAAACAACCGCATCAAGAAACACCCGAAACTGTGGTAGGGAACCGACTATTCTTGTGGATCCCACATCAGCGACAAGGAGAGACGACACCCTTCTTATTTTTGGTGTACTTAATCTCATTATGCTGGGTACTTGATAGTTGTTCACAGGTTATCATCCCTATGGCAGGTAGTGCAACCTGTAGAAAAAAAACCGACCAATTTTGGGCACTGCTCATTTGCCTTGTAGCAAATCAACATAGATATGGAAAAGCCATGCTTTTTAGCTGGGTAACATACCCATCTATGGTTGGTTCAAGCCCATTTATATCATATCCATGTTGAAATATGGTGACGCCGCATCAACCCTGTTGCCGGCAAGCGAGTGGCCTAGCGTGCTCCAAAGGAGCTTGGCAGAGCCCAAGTAGATTCCAAAGAGTCGCTGCAAGCCACACATCTTCGCCCCTGGCGACTGCCCAGGTGGTTATTAAATTATTCTCTGGTGCAGGATTTTCTCCGTCCACAGTATGCATATGCAGTATATAATATGAACATAACTGGGGTATATCCCACACATACAACAGCATTAACATATCTCAAAATATTGACGTGTTTTCAAATGGGATCAAACTTCAAATGCTACCCTTCCGTAAACTAACATAGCTATGGAAAATAGCCCATAGAAATAGATGGCTTACCTATTAAAAATGGGTGGATCTTTCCATAGCATTTTGTATCTTTACCAGAGGCTACATCAAACATGAGGAGTTGATGGAAAAGGCCCAAGCCCAGTGTATCGCAGGGCAAAAATCTCGCCATTTTTGCCCAGCAAAAAACGAGGATTCAACCAGCGAAGCAAGATTTTTTGCCAAATCTCTGGGTAAATGATCATATTTCACTCACCTGAATCACCTGATCATATTGGGATAATTCCCCGAATCCTAAGAAAATTATTCCAGGCTTCGGGAGAACAGGGTTCGGTCGTTAGAATTGACCCAGAAATATGGATTCATATTACGGCTATGGTTCAAAATGGTGGTACCAGTGGGCAAAAACACCATCCATGATCAGGACATCCTGGAAATCACGTGTGGGTCAATATGCCAGGGGCCTTTTTTTATGGAAAATCGATGAACATAGTATTCTGGTTGGTGGTTTTCAACCCAAGGAGACAATATGCCAATTAATATCTGGTTGGTGGTATACCTACCCCTCTGAAAAATCATGGAGTGAAAGTCAGTTGGGATGTTTATTCTCAATATATGGAAAAATTAAAAATGTAATAAAAATGTTCCAAACCACCAACCAGGTATTCAGTTGTTCTGGATGTCTAGTCAAACCGGACTTCCGGCACTGTTATTTTCGCTACCCTGATAGGTACTATAGTTGACAAAATGTCCCTGTGTATTGGTTCCTTTCATCCCCAACATTGTACTCGGCTGCGGGAGACATATTCTCATCTTTGTTGGATAAATCTCACAGTCTTATGGTTCGCGCACTATCCTCATCTGGGCAAAAAAACATATGTCAGTTTCGTCATGGTTAAGTCTGATTGTACCCACTGCACAACATTTCGCCAAGTATCCCCAAACGATCCCCACATTTATGATCATCCTATGTATGCATATAGATATAGATATAGATATAGATATAGATATAGATATAGAAATAGATATAGATATAGATGTAGATGTAGATATAGATATAGACATATTTTATATGTTGAATTATGATCTCCAAATCAGTTCATCTCACACTATCACCACATCTTTCCTCACCTTCTTGACCCTTCTCGATAAGGCCAAGCTCATGCAAACATCGCCACCTGGCGAACGCGACGCTGGAAACGTTGGAGAACTGGTTGGTTGATGAATACATATGAATACTAGTTTTCGTTATATCTACCATAACTGGTTGGTGGTATACCTACCCCTCTGAAAAATTATGGAGTTCGTCAGTTGGGCAGTTGGGATGATGAAATTCCCAATATCCGGAAAGTCATAAAACATGTTCCAAACCACCAGCCAGTATATCATATCTGTCAATGGATTTAAATGGTATATAATCAACCATAATGCTATTTATTCGGGATATGATGGGGATGTAGAGGGATATTACCCTCTGGTGTCCTCAAACATGGCAAGCTGGACAATGGGACAAGCATGGGAGAATATTGGGAAATCACAAATAAATCTGAGTAACATATAATATTTCAGTAACCTGAATTAAGGCCATTTGGGGATGATTCCTCTTATGAAGCATGGTTCCCAGTGAGGTAGCAGTGAGGTCGTTATAATTCACCCAGATAAATAGAGGTTTCTAGCTTTGAAAATCAAGTATACCCTCTGGAAAATGGCACATTTATAGATGGTTTACCTATTAAAAATGGTGATTTTCTATGGCTATGTAAATGTTTATCATTTATCAGAGGGTAAATGGTGAACTTTCTAGCTTTCCATGGATTACCAAAGGCTACACGAAAGCCGTAGGCACTTTTCATATCTGGGTAAAATATGGGACTGCGGCAAGATTCAAGGCAGAAAACGCCTCTGAAGAAACACATTCATGTCTGGTTGGTGGTTTGACCCCCTCTGAAAAATATGAAAGTCAGTTGGGACTACTATTCCCAACTGAGCCAATATATGGAAAAAAAATGTTCCAAACCACCAACCCGATGTTTAAATGACTGTATATCCAAACAAAAGGTGTTGGGTAATTTTCAGACATTTTTGGTGAGGGAAAGCAAGCTTCTGAAAGCCAAATTTGACAGATATCGGTTTGCATCGCTAACAGAAATTACTTCCCAACAGAACACTGGCGGGTTTGTAAATCCACAAACCCAGCCTGAAAATTGGCCGTTCACCAGCCAGGAAATCCATGTAGATTGAGACATCATTACCGGGGGCGATTTGAATACAACCCTTTTGATCTGCAGCAAGGGAAGTATGTTCTGTCTCTTTCCATTAGAGGCCTGTCTGCCGCACAACTTTGGGGAATCCACTCGAATTTTTCCATCCCATCTTGGGCCTGCAAAATGAAGAAATCCAATAGCCATGGTTCTAGCAATTCTTTGATATTGGGGATATGGATTCTGAATCAAGGCTGGACTTCAAGCTTCGACTTGGATGACTTGGATGACTCGGGCCCTGCCTGAATGCATCCAAAGTAGAGATCAGGTCTAGTGTAAACATAAAGTCGTGCGCCTGGTCAGGATCCGGTCGGCATCCATTTCGCTGTCTGAACCGTGGCCACAAAATACCACTACTTGGGGCGTATCCTATATATATAGGGGCCCCCCAGTGATGTTTGTTGGTTTATAAACCCATGAATACTATAGTTATAAGTATGATAAACCATAGTTATTTGGGTTATAAACGAACTTAGCTATCTTGGGGGCCCCACATTGTGTATATATATATATACACATAATTATTAACCACTATTCTCCAGTATTGTCCCATTATCATCCCATGACTAACCCTAACTTACCTAGCTGGCTTGTATATATGGCTATGACTCACTTGCAAACTGGGCTGCACATCCAAGTAAACTTCCCATGATGACATGAGGCCTCGACCTAGATGCCCTGTAGCTACGCTTGGAGCTATCATCATTTTGGAGATACCCTCTGGTTTGCGAAGTGGAAAAGCACCATGCTATGAAGAACGGTAAATCATCATTTTTATATGTCTATAGGCCAGCTACACTGTAGCAAACGGTTAAATAAGCAAAGGGTACATCCAACAATAATGGATTGTGACACCTCCCAATATATTGAATGGTATAACTCCATTTGATTATTAACATAGCCATTAACATTTCTGGGTAAATGATCATATTTCACTAACCTGAAACTTGCGGCCAGCTATGGGGATGAATGATTCCAGGCTTCAGTCACGTGAGGTCACAACATCATTTGCCCAGATTACAGGATGATACCCCCAGTGATGTGAATGTTGCTTTAGAGGCACCCCATGAATACATATGAATACTAGTTTTCGTTATATCTACCATAACTGGTTGGTGGTTGAGCCCTAGCCCTCTGAAAAATGATGGAGTTCGTCAGTTGGGATTATGAAATTCACAACTGTATGGAAAAATAAAACATATTCCAAACCGCCAACCAGATAAGCAAATACTAGTTGGTTATATCTACCATAACCCAAGAATAGCTGGAACATATGATAAACCAAGCGCCTCTTATATATCATATTCTGCCATAACCATATGAAACATCCATTTTCACCATCGAATTCCAGCGGCACCTCCAACTGCACTGCCTTTGGCTCCAAGCAAAGGGTCGCCTCGGAACTTGTTCGTCGGCTCCCCGACGAAGCATGGGAAAATATGGAAACCATCAGCGATGGAATGGGAAAAGTCGTCTCTTTTGGGATTTTTTGGGCATCTTTTTCTGGGATTTTTGATCCGTGAAGCCGGAAAAACATATACACAGCTGGTTGGTGGTTTGAACCCCTCTGAAAAATATGAAAGTCAATGGGAAGGATTATCCCATCTATGATGGAAAATAAAAAATGTTTCAATCCACCAACCAGATAGCCATGGAAAATGGACAATAGCCATGGTATAGATTGCCCTTTGAAATAGATGATTTTCCCAGCGAACGAAACCTCCATTTATGGTTGGGATTTTCCATGGCAAACTGTTAGTCATAACCAGATGGCAACATGAATCTATTCCTTATGGATTCACCAGTGGATGTCCGGATTTGGGACTTCACAAATCATCGACGCAGCAAAAGTAAGAAGAAACAGGTTTTCAACCCAACTTCCAACATCAAAAGTCACCAAAATCAGAGATCATCCAACTGTTTTTTGATCTTTTTCCTCCTCATTTCAAGCAACCATGACTTTTTGTCAATCCATCTCCCAAGTCCATCTGAGGAGTCAACCCCACAGTGAACCAAAGTTAATGACAAGGAGAGAAGGCTGACATTTTTTCTACGCAGCAGTTGTTCTCTCCACTGCAGGCCTGCGTTGAGCAGGGCGGCTGATTGTGGGGCTTGTTTTTAAGCTTTGCCATGAGCCTTTGGGTCAATTTTTTGGCACTAGAGATTTATGGTACTGACACCCTCCAGGGCCCCAGTGACCATCCAGTGATGTCTGTGAAAAAAACAGGGCAAATCTGAAGCAAACCTATAGGACCGGTCACTGGCGGTTGATATTTATCACCAGTCGATTGATAACTCGAATTGTTGACTTCTTGTATTCAACTGTGGATTCCGACTGGGATGTTTTGATACCGACAGAAGATGATTTGAACACGGATCAACATGATCAACATTTCACCCCCTCATGGTGGAATTCATTTGGTTTTGGGTACTCTTCATAGCATGATTCACCATGAAAACCACGATTACCATTATGAAAACCATGATTAACCACTATGAAAACCACTTTTCCATGGTGAACATGATGAACAAATTTACCATGAAAACCATTATGAAAACCATACATTCACCATGATTAACCATTATGAAAACCACTCTTACATTATTCTCCATGTGACGACTGTGGCATTTGTAGAGGCCACTGGGATGCCTGCCGTGCCGAGTACTTCCCGAATCCTTCGGGATGATCAACATGTTAGAAATGCGTCGGGAAACACCTCATTACCCGGTTATAAATTTTGGGTTTACTTCATGGATTACATCACTCAATGGATTTACTAAATTTGGGGGTTACCTAATGATATAGATATAGGTATAGATATAGATATAGATATAGACATAGATATAGATATCGCCTGGTTATTTAACGGTTTGCGAACTGGAGAATCACCATTTTATAGCTAGGTAAATCATGAAAAACATCTATTTCTATGGGCAATTTTCCATGGCTATGTTAAATAACAATAGGGTACTATCCGTCAATACTAAGCCATATCACTAAAAATGGTTGCAAAGCTGAGCGGTTCATTTTGGTGCCAAATTTTGGGAGGCCATATCTTTCGCTGATGAAAAAATACATTTTTGTTGGTGAAATCCCAGTGAACTTCCGGAAATTGACCTCCCCTAAGGCCGATAACACATTGTATACCATTGTTAGTTAAATTCCCATCTCATGATTACAGCAACCCCAAAAGAGGTAGACTAATTTTTCTCGGGATGGTAGTTCGATGATGCTTGCCCTTTATCACTGCCACGTTTCCAACTTTAAACAATATTTTTCTTTTTTCTGGGGTGTTTTGTAAACATCTATAACCTAATATATAGATAAATATTAGAAAACCTATCATATTAGGTAACATCCTAAGGACATGAGCTGGTTTCCGCATCTACGAGTATGTATGTTGGTTAACCCCAGGGTAGCCAACAAAAGTGGCGTTTTACAAAAGGATTTGCGATCCAGGATTCACAACAAAGATTCACAATTTCTGGTCGATTTCCCTTTCATCGACGCAGCAAATCCAAGATTCTAGTTATATCCCGCATTTATCTGGTTGGTGGTTGAGCCCTACCCCTCTGAAAAATACGAGTTCGTCAGTTGGGATGATGACATTCCCAACTGAATGGAAAGTCATAAAATTCATGTTCCAAACCACCAACCAGTTATAGATGCTTTTCTCAGCCATGAACCTCCATTTAGTCGAAAACCGCGCACACAGTTCAATGCTGCCTCCTCCCATAAGGCCCATAGCCTCTGTACCGGGTAGTGTTGAACATATCATGATAACGAACCTAGTACTAATTAAACACTCCCAAACCTTGCTATGCCTATGGTGTGGAGCCTGTACACCCAAGGTGAAATCCCTGTGCCTTGTGTCTAGTGCGTAACGCTTTAGGTAAGTCAACCACAAAACCCCGGGCACCCCCCAAAAATCATGGTTTATCCTCATTTTCCATCATTTTACCCAATTTCAAACACAAGTTGGAGGTATCCCCAAATTTTCACTCAGCCAAATCATGCCAAATCCATATTGATTGGTGAATTTCCAAGGGTTTTATGTCAAAATCATGCTACCCTCTGGTTATTTCACATAGCCATGGTATAGATGGCCCATAGAAATGGATGGTTTACCTATTAAAAATGGGTGGATCTTTCCATGGCTATGTTAAATAACCAGATGCTAAATCCCAGGTTTTTGGCTGTTTGGCTGGTGGAACCACCTGCCTGTGGCTCCCGCGCTGCCCTGCTGTGCTTCAGACCACCAGATGGCCTCAGACAGCGTTTCGTCAGGTCTTTTCCCATGAGACACGCAAGGGGGGCCCAGAGGAGCTAAGTTGACTTTTTTGAGCCTTATAAGTTATATTAATAAGCAACTGTTGAGTTGATTGTAGCATATTGTAGCTGGTTTTTTGGAATTATTTCAACCAACTATAGGTTTCTATGTGAAAAAACAACACGCTGAAACATGTAGAGGATGGGATTTATTTACCTGATGGGGTTCCCTCCTTGCTGGGGTTTGGATAATGTCAATAGATTGGAGCCTAAATGGGTACACACTATGAAAATCTATGAAATTATGATCCAAACAATGGCCCCAAGAAGGCATTAGGCTAACATACTATAAGCATGGCATTAGGAAAACATGTAGATCAAGAAATCGGGGAGCATCGCAACAATTCGTCTGCCTTGTTAACACACAAGTCATCAACAATACAATACTGGAATGGGCAATAAACTTGGTCCACATCTCCAATTTCCTTCTAATTCTTGTTGAAACAATCATAAATCAACCATCAAGGATTGGATGTCTATCCCCTCTCATGTTGCCCTCTTGTAATCAAGCATGGCTTTCTCGAAAATCCCCTATGTATTTCGATGATTTTCCATGCTGATGGCTAGTTCTGGGATTTCCCAGTGGCCCACTATGGCACAATGAAGTGACGAAAATCGGATTCCCCACCTGCTCTGGACTTGGTGACAACGCCTCTTCGACCTCGTTCTGATTGTCTGCCGTCATGCCGCTTTTGATCAAGTGAATCAGGACCTTCGAGTTGCGGATGCAAATTTGGATGAAGAGATATGGGGACGGAATTCCAAAGAATCAAATTTAACCAAACAAATTTCCCCCAAAAAACAAATCCCCAAAACTTAAAAACAGAAGTTTCAGACCCAAAATGGGTTGCATTGCCCATGGAGTATCAGCCTACTTATTGGTTCTCACTGGTTAACAAAAAAATAGGGCTTGTTGGCCCAGTTATACATGCGATGACCCAGTTCGGAGACTTATTCACCAGGCTTTCAAAACAGTGGGATGATCCTCCAAGTGAGGATATCATCAACGAACTTGGGAACAGAAGTTGGGATATACTTGGGATACAAGAAATCTTCCACGTGTCAAAATAACATCTGATTTCTAATTTTTTAGACATAATACGATGACATAATATAGAGCCAATTCAATGCCTTTTGCAAAGTGACGCAGCAATCCAATTTTTCAGCGAGATAGCCGCTGAACCGAACCGGCAACCGAAACCGGTTTCCGAAGCGGAGCAGTTTGCAGGAACCGTAGGAAGCGCTTGCGGAACCGGTCATGCACTTATTCAATTGCACTTATTCAATGAAAGGAAGACAGCATCTTTGTTGCATCTTTGAAACCGACGTCTAACGTGGCCTGGGACCAGACGCTTTGCCAAAAGGGACTGAACGGCCGTTCCAACGCATCCGAACCGATTCCCAACAGCAGAATCCAAAGTTGCTGCAAAATTTATGGTTGGTGGTTGAGCCCTACCCCTCTGAAAAATGATGGAGTGAAAGTCAGTTGGGATGAAGACATTCCCAACTGAATGGAAAAATAAAACATGTTCCAAACCACCAACCAGATTTCTTTCTCGGACTTTGCCGCGGTCTTTGTTGCCCCCCTTTTCGACGGCGGTCAACGATGTTGGTCCCAAGGTTCAACACCGAAAACGACACATTCTCCGAAGACCACATCACTGTTGGAACTATATCTGGGGATCCGATTCCCCAAGCATGACTAGTCTTAATTGATACACTCCCCAAAACAACATTTAGCCGGATCTGTAACTATATCCACATTTCTGGCAACCGATTCAACCATCCAAGGTTGAAAAAATGTTGAACACCCGATAAAATGATGCCGTTTTACTGGGATTATGGCCAGAAAAAAACACCGCAGCAAAAAAAATACGGGCAATTTCCATCATTTCCCATTTAGTTCGATGATTTCCCACAGATGCCCATTGATTTCGAAGATTTCCCAGCCTCGCACAGGGCCATGATGGGTTCGAGTTGCAGCTGTAATGCCACAGAGGGCAAGCGGATTGAGATGGACGTCTCACCTCAGAAATGGCTTGGAATTTGAGATTTTGAATGACAGCAATCTTAGATACCCTGCAAAAATGATAAATTCTTAGCTGGTGAACGTAGATAATCCTATAGCAAAAGACTAGTTAGGATTAGTCAATGATTAGTCACTACCCATCCAGTTGGTTGACCTAGTTGAATGGCAACAATAAAAAAAAGTGTCTTTAAGAACGAAATTCCCAGATGATACCTCCCATCCAAAAGGATAGTATCACCTGAAGTAATCTTGGATTTGCGGCCAAAGAAAATAGCAACATATACCCTCTGGTAAACGTTTACATAACTATGGAAAGATCCACCATTTTCAATGGGTAAATCCACTATTTCGACTGGGCCATTTTCAATAGCTAACCCACCCATTTTTAATAGGTAAACCATCTATTTCTATGGGCCATCTATACCATGGCTATGTTAGTCATAACCAGAGGGTAGCAACATATAATCCGTAGATTCCCTGCTGGATTCAACATGAAAATCATCCAACTACCAGCCATGGCCATAGGTAGAATCAGCAGATCCCAAGGCATGACCACCAAGTGCTTCATATCAGCTAACAATCCGGGGCAATCAAGCATCCTCTGGGGATATGCCACTCTTTCCGTGTAAAAGAATGGGATATATATATACTGGTTGGTGGTATACCTACCCCTCTGAAAAATCATGGAGTTCAAGTCAGTTGGGATGATTACTCCCAATATATGGAAAAATAAAATGTTCGAAACCACCAACCAGTATATACCAATATGTGGATTTGAATTAAATGGAGGATCCCTCAAACTTGCCCTTTTGCTTTGGAAAATGATGAGACAGCACTGGAACTTTGCGGGCTGTTGGAATATCCTACCAAAAAATGATTCTTAGCTGGTGAGTTAGTAGATATTCGTATACCAACAGATTCAAGGATTAGTCCCCATCCATCTGCTTAACTCCACATGGTGAAGCCCCATCTGTTCCCAGTGGCTACTGAAGGGGCACACACGTCGTGATCGATGCTGCGGAATGAAGCCGCACCAGCGCCTGAATTGGGACATACTGGGTATGGGGCTTGATACCACCAATGAACACGGTATAAATAGGTTTTGACACCAAAAATACTATGGTGAAACAACACTCCACTTAGTTGACTTAGTTGACTGGAACCTCCAAGAATATCCAGCTTTTGACCATGGCAATATATCTTGGTCATGAAAAGGTGGAAAGGGTCAAGTCGCTCCTACCATCACTTCAGATTGATCATCTTACACTGTGAAAATGGATCAAAGATCGGTAGAGTTGCCAACCCCTCCATCAAACTCGTTGAAACTTCAGAAACTACCCGGCCTGGTAAACAAACAGTTTGCTATTGAAAATGGCCATAGAAATAGTGGATTTACCCATTAAAAATGGTGAGTTTTCATAGTTATGTTAGTTTACCGGAGGGTACTTCATCATTCCCCAATCACCAAGTCAAAATTTCTCGAATCCACGCTTTTCATGGTCACCCAGACAAAGTTTCAAACGAATCCACATGAATTTCATGGCTATGTTATCGCAATTTTCGTTGACTCTCACATCTTTAGCTGGTTGGTGGTATACCTACCCCTCTGAAAAATATGAAAGTCAGTTGGGATGATTATTCCCAATATATGGAAACATAAAAGCCATGTTCCAAACCACCAGCCAGTTAGCCATTCACCTGACGACGCTATCGGTCCCGCACCTCTGTTCCACCTGCGCTGTGACCTGTCCGATGACTTCCACCATGGCTCCTGGCGCCAGGAGAGTCCAAAAATCGCTGGATACATCTGGATCATCTGGAAATCCCCCCAAAGAGATTTTTTTTCGGGAACATCCTCTGTGAATGAAGGTTTTAATAGGAAAAACAACTATAACTGGAGGTTTGAGTGGAAAAAAACAACTATAACTGGAGGTTTTCATGGCAAAAAGCAACTATAAATGGAGGTTTCGTTCGCTGGGAAACTCATTTCTAAATATGGATACATATGTTATTTTCCAGGAAGCCATGTTTGATTACCAGAGGGATTTTTTGATGCTTCTTCATGGCATTTTTTTGGGGTAAGTCGGTGGTTTTCAAAGTCGTTCTTCACAACATGTGCCATCACAAAGATATTTTTGTCAGCTGGGATACTTATCCCAACCAAGGTTTTTCATATCTGGTTGGTGGTATACCTACCCCTCTGAAAAATATGAAAGTCAGTTGGGATGATTATTCCCAATATATGGAAAAATAAAACATGTTCCACACCACCAACCAGATATCATGTTGGTAAAACAATGCCATAAACCATGTGCTGCTACTTGCTGGTTCATCCCACGTCGTTTAGTTGCTTAGTTCACCCCAGTTCCAACTGGACAGAAGGCCCCAACCGTACTGAATTCCTTGGGGTGAACTTTGCCAAACATGATCTTCACCCTGGAGGTGCCATGGAGCCAGAAATCGTAGCTACTCACCACCTAAAATAAGCCTCTAGTAAACGTTTACATAGCTACGGAAATCAACATGTCTAATGGGTAATTCAGCTATGGCAATTTTCAATAGCTATGTTAAATTACCAGAGGGTAACCCAGTTAGATTAATGGCACAGCTATGGATTATCAAGCACTTTCTAACTGCGATGCACATCCAAGTACTCAAATTATTGATTCATCTCCATCTCCGGAGCAGTTGGTAATTGGTTCGCAACTGTTACCATACAACGACTGTCGGAATCCTCCTCATCTTGTTGGTACCCAAATCTGGGATGCATGTCTCCTTGACCAAGAATTTGGGACCATTTTTTGATCCACACTTTTTCTCAGGACCAGCTGGGTTGTAAAGCTTTGCTAGCAGCATACTTCACATCTTGATTTCCAGCTGTGTTTTCCACAATTCACAGCCTTTTTGATGCCCCAATTTTGTGCAAAAAGACTTCACCAGGTGCTTGACTTTTTGAGCCAGCTCTCCACTCCAAGTTGAAGCTTACTTAGTTTTGACGGCTTAATTGCCCATATCATTATTCATCAGATATGGGGAATCCCGACATCAGGGATATATAAATCCTTATTGATCATTACCTCCTACAAATTATGGTCAATTTACCTAAAATTTGCCAATCAATCAATCAATCAACAATTAGTCAGTAAATAAAACTTTGCAAATTTACCCATTGTATTAAACCCAATTATATAATCAACAATTAATTTGAATTAATCAGTAAATCAATATTTAGCCATTTACCCATTGATGCATTTATGTTATCAAATCTCCAAATTTTTGCTTAAACAAATTCCTCATATCTTTGAGCACGATATCGTCCCAGTCCTCGCCTGGCTTGTGACTCAACGCTGCAAGCCGCAGACCATCAATCTGGACCTCGTCGCCGAAAGAATTCCGCGGCGCAAGCGCGGACGGGGTGTGTGAATGGATTCGGCTCCCAAAAAATGTGCAAATGTGGTGGGTATATCTATAGACTTGATTATTTATATATGTATGTATATATATATATGTGTAAACTCGGGCTGAGTTTTTTTTTCGCAATTGACCAATCTGAAATGTTGGGTCATTTTGAGATTGCTGCCCTTACTAGCTGTCATTGATGTTGTCGTCGTTGTCAGGTCGCTATAATTCAGCTAAGTCACGCTGCAAATTGAAAAGCAGCTATTTTGACAGTTGTTACAATGTGGGGCCCCCCAGTTATAAGTTGGTTTATAACCCCCATGAATACTATAGTTATAAGTATGATAAACTATAGTTATTTGGATTATAAACCAACTTAGTTATCTTGGGGGCCCCACATTGTATCAGTTGCTTCAATCAACTATCTTGACAGCTTCAAGATGGGTCTTACCATGTTGTACCACCAAACCATCAAGTTGGTTCCCCCGCACCGAAAGGACGTTGAGACGACAAAAACCCGAGTTCTCCGAGTCGCCAATCGGAAAAGCCTTGCGCAAGGGTCGCAGAATTCGTAGACATCCTGGAGTTCAGAGTTCAGACCCTACAATGTGGGGCCCCCAAGATGACTAAGTTGGTTTATAACCCAAATAACTATGGTTTATCATACTTATAACTATAGTTAATGGGGTTTATAAACCAACTTATAACTGGGGGGCCCACATTGTAAGAGGCCAAAGCCGGCCCTGGGAACGTAGGTGATGTGGTCCAATTGAATATGATCATTTCTAGTGAGTCGGGATGGCTAATGATTTTTGAGTTTACCAGCTTAGTTGAACTAATCCCAGTTACCAAGTGCTTAATAATCACATTGTCACCCACTTGTACAGGGGATATATCGCATACCCTAGTAATCTATGGCTTATGAACTACCAACACGCTTTCTGGGCGGCATGCATGCTAGTAGTCATTCCCAATGGGTTTATCCCTTGCATCGGTTTATCATGATCCATGGCAATTTCAACCATGCTACCATGCTCAACCCCAAAGTTTCAAGGGGATTGGATTTTTTCATGTTTCGTTCGTGTTCACTTCGTGTTCACTTCGTTCGTATTCCCCAAAGAGAATTGCAGATTGATATATGTACACTCATGATATATATATATATATACACTAGCTATCTCTATATATATATACACTATATGTACACTATAGATATATATGAGAAGCTATGTACATATATCATATATCTGGGATTTTTCCTGTTGCCAAATCGAGTGATTTTCCCATTGCCGTTCCTTCGGAGGCCCAAAAAACGGGAGAAAAATCTCGGGCTGGGACAAGGGTGTCATATCCCCATGATATGCCCAATTTTTATAGCCATAAAAAATGCTTGATGACATACCATTAACCCATTTTTATGCCCAATAAATGGCCATTGATTAACCCTGTTCATATTAACCCTGTTCATATTAACCCTAGATTTCATCGTTTAACATCCATGAACAGACATAAAGCCATGAAATCTAGGCTTAAAATTCCCGATAAAACTCCCTTGAGATTCCCTCTGGTAAACGTTTACCAGGCAAATCAACTATAAACGTGGTATTTTCAATAGCTATGTTAGTTTACCAGATACTCCCTTGATATTCCCGTTGCCAATCTTAGATACCCTGCAAAAAATGACAAATTCTTTGCTGGTGAACGTAGATAATCCCATACCAAAAGACTAGTTAGGATTAAATTCTACCCATCCAGTCGATTGACCTAGTTCACCATTATTAACCGTTATTAACCATTACTAACCATCATTAACAATATCTATGTCATATTAATCCCCCTATTAACCATATCTAGTTCATCATTATTAATATCTATGTCATATCTAGTTCATCATTATTAACCAGCATTATTATTTGGCCTAGTTCCCTCTATATCCCCATGAATCCATTGCCATCGGATCGCCTGAGGTTGGTTGATCTTGTCTCCCCGAACGCTGCAAGGGAAGGTCTGGAGGGCCTCAGGATCTTTTCGCTGGCGCGCTGGCGCGCGTCACTACTCTCCGGGCATCCCTGGGTTATAGTACCTATAAGATCTTATAAGTATATCTAGATGATAGTTATAAGTTATAACTGTATTTAGATGATAGTTATATCTAAATGATAGTTATAACTATATTTAAATGATAATTATAACTATAGTTAGATGAGTTTATACAGCAGCTTATTATCCATTTATGATATATCAATGGCCACTTTAGGGACCGATTTGTTGGAGGTACCTTACCATATATAAGGCCTAAGGGGGTCTGCCCCCTATGGCTTCATATGGTACAGTAGCTTCATTTGTGCGTCCTGAAATTCCCATTGAGAAAATGGCCAGCTTGTAGATGAGTTATGAACAGGTTTCGATGGCCAACCAGTAGATTCCCACAGGGGAACCCAAGAATCAAATGCACCAACTTTTTCCATCAAGAGGATGTACTGTCTTATTGCGGGCTTGTGGAAATAAGTGTACTTGCTGTAGACTCACACCCTTTGTAACGGGTGAATGGATCTATATATCTTGATTTACCATGGGCATGTATTTTCTCAAGCGCATGTAATGTCACTAGCCCAATCATGTCACGACTAATTCTACCATATGGCAGGATATCAAGCATTCCTCAGAACATTGCGATTAAAAACCCATTTTCCAAGATTTTCCAAGCACGTCCCGCTTTTTGCCGTTGTGAAACACTATTTTCAATTCATGAACAGTCTGGTTTTGTCTGATTTTTTTTGTACCCCCACAAGAATGGTTATCCCAGTTCTGGTGGGGCGTGTCGCCCACCATAAAGTTGGTCAAATCCAGCATTTCTAGACAAACTCAATCATGTTCATAAAGCCAAACAATATCATGCTGTTGGATAAACATGTCCCATGATTTTCCCGGGATAATATACCCACTATATCCCCGAATTCTCTCCTCTCCTGGTTGGTATATTCAGGCATCAGGGGGCTGTCCCACCATCCTCCCGAGCTGCCTCGACACTGAGTCGCAAGAGGGGACCGGGGAGATCTACCTCTGGGGTTTCAACACGCTGGAAGGCTTGTTGAGCACGAGGAGTGCGGAGCAAAAATGACAGGAGCACGCTTCCAACATCCTAAATACAAGGCTAAATTGGGTAGATAGGTAAACTTACCAACAAAAACCACCAAAAAGTGGTTGTTTTCCATCTATAATGGGTTGGAGCAAGCCTGAAACAAGGTTGGATATAAGGGATACAATCAATGAATGTGCGGGCTTGACCAAGAATGATCACAGCCAACATTACCAAACATATCCAGAAGTGGATGCAACTAGCTACAATGTGGTGCCCCCAAACCTTATGTCAACGTTGGTTTATGAAGCCCATGAAAACTAGTTCGTTATATCTACTTACAAGGTGGTGCCCCCCAGTTATAAGATGGTTTATAAAGCCCATTAACTATAGTTATATCTACCATAAACCATAGTGAAATTGGAGTTATAAACCAACTTAGTTATCGTTTGGGGGCCCCCTGTATCAAGTTGAGCCAAAGGTCACCATGTCACCCTCAAGTTGAGCCTCCCCGACTGAGGATACATCTAGCTGGATGCTCTTCAGAAGCACTTGCAGTCCATCCATGATGACCTGTTCGGGGGACATGGTGGCGCATGTGTGAAAGGGGTACATATCATATTTGTTAAGTTTTTTTTGCTTGGCAGAGTATTTCTGAAATAACTATTTTTCTTGGTTCAAGCACGGTGTTTCATGGTTAAGCCTCCATTGAATCTATTTACTCACCGTTTTTGTTTGTCACAATGTTCACCAATTTGAAGCACCATTTCTTGTTGGTCAATCCATCATGAAACCGATATACAGCCTATTGAAGTACCTAACACGGAACCTTAAGAAATTGGCAATTCCCACTACACGAATTGCTTTGCAGCGCTTTAGGTGCACAGCATTAGTAGCTTCAGGACTTGAGGTTGATAGGTATGGCCGGTATGGCCGGTATGGCCGTTTGGGGGCATTCCTCGTTTTCAGACATTCTCATTTTAGGTTTTCAGATGGAATCCAGATATGTGTGCAGGCTGAATCCTTGTCTGCGGAAAGTATTCCACATCCTCGGCAATGTGTTCAACGGTCAAGGCGCCAAAGCCCGTCACTCGATCGCCAATGACAAACAATATCCTATATGAACTATATGGAGGTTTCCAATTTATGGGGGTACCCGGGTACCTTCATCCATTTATAGATGGATTTTCCATGGATTTTCAACCATCCAGCTACAGGATGGGGCCCCCGTTCGATAGCGTTCAGTTGCCTCAAAAAAGTGGCTGAATTCTATGGTTTATGGAAGATATAACTATAGTTAATAGGGTTTATACACCAACAAACATCACTGGGGGGCACCATCCTGTGCTAATATTCATTGTCCCATGAAATATCCCATCAGTATCCTATCATACTTGGAGGATAACCACAGTTTTCTGGGGGTTATTTCATGGTTTATAAACCAACAAACATCACTGGGGGGCCCCATCCAGCTATTGGAGACCATTTCTGGAAACTCCCAAATCTTGGACCCAATCGACTCCAGCGATCCATGGCGAAGCACCGGTCGTCATCGTTGATTTCTGACCATGGGAGGTATATCTTCATTTTCTTGGTTAAAACTTTTTTTTCCCAGGTTGACGCCCCAATCTTTGTTGGTTCAAACATGTTCAAACCCTTATCTAGGTAAATTACAATAATTTGCTAACCTGAATTAAGGCCAGTTGGGGATGATTTCCCTTATAAACCAGTGAGGTCGTAGTGAGGTCGTTGTAATTTACCCAGTATGTTGGTCAAAATTGATCTGGGTTTACGTAGTTTTCGCTGAAGTTTTTGATCTAGGTTTACCATCCGCTAAACATGGATGGAAAATCCACCATTAAACTGTCATTTTAGCGATTTTTACCCGTAGGAAAATAGGAAAATCCGAGATTTAATGGGTGCTTTTTCCCATTCAAATCACATGTGCAGTCATGGAAACCACACTTTCCTATGATTTTCCCAGCAAAAAAGAACCATTTAACTTCGGGGACTTCCCATCACCCCGCAGCTGCAGCTGATTTCCCAAGCAGCTGCGCCTCCTTTAGACCGACCTTCAGCTGCGTTTCGACCTTTCGATCTTCTGCATCCTCGGCCTGGATGGAAAAAGACACTGCATACGAGATTAAACTAGTAGATTTCAAATGTACCCTCCAGTAAATTAACATAGACCCTGGCAGATAGGGGTTGGAAGACTTGTTTCCATTAAAAATTGGTGATTTTCGGCATATGTTTATTTACCAGAGGGTATATTGTTGGTTACCCTCTGGTAAACTAACATAGCTATTGCAAATGGATGCAAGTGGCCCATTTGTAGTTGATCTACCTATTCCAAACGGTGATTTTCCATAGCAAACTGTTAGTTTACCAGGGGGTATGTGCCATTCACATCCACTAAACAAACATTCTCCTACTCAACTAAAATCTTGCTGGTTTCATCCCAAACCCAAATAATATTGTTGATGACATCGTCATGTACTGTAAATATACATGTATATATATATATGTATCCCAGCATATCCCCCGACTATATTCAGATTAGTTGGTAGTGCCCTTTCATATCCATGAAGTATATGAAGTGCTACACCCGCTATTAAATGCTTGGTTTCATGGAGGAAAGGCCCCACTAAGTTAAGTTTGTTGGTTTGTGTTACCCCATCGAATTAGTTCGACATATCAACCATAAATCTAAGAGTCAGCCGGCCTAGCCGATTTTTTCTCGCTCCTGGGTTCCCTACGTCACACGGAATATGGATAGCTATGGATAGCTATGGATAGCTCCCACCGGACACATCCTCATTTCAGGATGGTTAGGTCATAGCAACCTTTATTGGGGTAACACACAAACCACCTCTCTCGATTTATAGCTGATCTTCCCATTTGAACATCATTTTACATGACAATTTAAATAACTGGTTGGTGGTTGAGCCCTACCCCTCCGAAAAATATGAGTTCGTCAGTTGGGGTGATGATTATTCCCAATATATGGAAAAATAAAAACGTTCCAAACCACCAACCAGACATATCAATGTAAACTTTCAACGATCGTTTAGAGGGCCCTGAACCCGTTATCCGCGTTAGGCCTCTGGGTAATCAGCGACCTGCCTCCTCAAGATTCATCTCTACCTCCGGATCGCTTTGTTTGCGGAGCTGCTCCTGCGCTGGGACCATTTTTCCATATTTGAATTGTCATCCGACAATGAAAACTATATATCATATACAATATACATGTAAATCTAAAGATATTTTTTAGAAAATGATATGCGCTGAATTTCATATGACATATAACTATAATAAAATGGCTATGGGGAGATAATGGGGATAGTTATGGTTGGATTGTCTTTGTTATTTTACCCGGCCTCCTAATAACACTAATATTCCCCGATCGGTTCGTCCCTGGTTTAGTATTGGATATTGTGGGGAGGGATTTGCATATGTATATAAATATATACAGGCGTAAAACATGTGATATATGATATATGACATATGACATTGTCATCTCTCTCTCTCTCTCCCTATCCACCTATCTATCAATCAATCAAGCTATCTATCAATCAGTCACTCTATCGATCTACAAGGCCACCATCTATCTATGTAAGCTTTAAACAAAAAAGACCTGGAAAACCAACCGTTTATAGCTCACTTCCTTGGGAAGCCACTGGCTTTTCACGTCTATGTTTGTTAATCTCAAATTTTATGATGTATATGTATGTATATATATATATGTATACATACTATAATGACTTTTGTATGGCATATGAAGTGATGTCTTCAATTGAAATCCAACTATATTGCAACAGTCCGGTCATCATATCTACCACTCAAAACATTCAAAGGGTTTATTTAATGGCGACTATGAACGCCTGCCCATACTGAGTATCTGAGCCCCTATTATATAATGATGGTCTGATTAGGCCTTGGAGTTGCTTAAGGGGTCCCAAGAAAAATCAAAGATTCCCTATAAATTTCCCAGTCCTGGTGGATGTTCCATTGTGAAAAAAAAAAAACAAACCCAGGTAGAAGGGGGGCGGGGACTTTGAAAAATAACCAGTGTGATGTTATCTGATTGTTGGCTGTTGGTGTTGAAGCTGCGCCCTCCAAACCACATGACTTTGAAGGTGATAAAAAACAGATCCTTAGCAAACATGACTCTCCTCCGTGTGGAAATCTACAGCTGTTGAAACTATCAGCTTTGGGATGATGGACTATCGGCAGTCGCTGCACGCTGCTCCGCGGCCAAGCGTGCTTAGCAACGCGCTCACGAATGGCAACAGTGATGACCAGGACATTCTTTCAAACCAAGAGACTCAGATGCTGTCAAAACATCCAGGCCAGGCCTGACAAGGCCAGAGGTGCTTGTGTGTGCTACACAACCTTCTTGCGTCTGGGCGAACTTATCCGGACAGCCCAAAACCTTTCCACCAGCTCATTCCGCCCCTCCATCAGCATAGCAAACAGCGGTGAAATCTCCCAAGGAGCCGTGTCACCGACTAGGGACATTTATCAACAAGCTAAAGTGATGTTGAAACAAGCAAGCCACACATTGTCTTTGAAACCCTGCAAACCTGTGGGAAAATGAATTTGAACCCCCCAACATGATACATCTGATGTCTAAAGCTTTCGAAGAATGATGATTGCCCTCTGGTAATTTAACATAGCTATTGAAAATGGCCATTTGTAGTTGATTTATCTATGAACAGTGGGGATTTTCCATGGCAAACTGTTAGTTTACCAGAGAGTATAACCTATAAACCCAATGCATACTATAGTCTACCAAGTTATAAAAGTCAACTTACAAGGTGGTGCCCCAGTTTGTTAGCTGAGTTGGTTTACCAGAGGGTAAAGCCTCCAAAATTGAGACAGGGAACCCCCACCTCTGTTGTTCCCCAAAAAAGGGGGAACGCATCCCAGTTCACCAGTTGTTCATTTCGAGGATCAAATGAACCACGTGGGGATGTACCACCAAGGACACCACATGAATATACATGTGGTAAACCATCCCGCAATGGTAGGCCTATTTTCATCCATGTATGGTTGGTTATACAATGGCCAATCTTAGATACCTGACAAAAAACGACAAATTCTTAGCTGGTGAACGTAGATCATCCCATTGATACCAAAAGACTAAAGGATTAGTCACTACCCATCTAAGATTGACCTAGCGATGATGAAATTCAGAGATGAAACCACAGAATTTCCCATTACATATGGGGTTTTCCTGTAAATTTTCCCTTGAACCAATCCGTTGATTATAGCATTAAAATCCACAAACTATAGGCATAACATCAGAAAGTCCTGCGTGGCCAGCCATTCCGCATCACTATGCGCACGGAGCTTCACGGTCAAACCTGAAAGCTCCTGGCGGATCAGCCGGATGGGAGTGATAACCCTGGTTGATAATTAAGTCTCGTGGCTTGATTTTGCAACTGGGATGCAAAAAAAGACTTAACCACTTACTAAATGGGATGACAAGACTTACCTTCTGTAAGTGGTTAATCAGTCAGATTTTGCAACTGGGGAAGATAATCTGACTGACGAACCACTTACTAAATGGGATGATGCAAAAACATGTATATACCAGCGGGTTTGGACCCATGTTCAACTGGGAATTATCATCATGCTTTATCAATTTTTTAAAACCTAGGTGGTAGTGTGATAGCTAAACACAAGATGAAATAAATTTTACCTCCAAGTGCTGGTTGGTTCATTTTGGGGATAGTGCCGCAATATTCCATCCAAACATAACGGATATACGTATATACATTTAAAGAAAAACAACCATCCGATATGGGCGTGTCTGGGAATGTGGCGCTGCCGCCCAATTCCCTGATTTTGACCATTCTGTTTGTGAAGTTGTAACATATAGATTTGAAGTTTTTGATGCGTCTTCATGTTGTTACTACCCATTTAACCCCAGTAAGTAAATATCCCATTACATCACTATTATGTTTGGTCTAGTATGTGACCATTAAAAATGACCATTTTCAACCTGCCCCGTGTTGCTTGTATATAGCGATAACATATAACATACCATGCAATTTTCATAATATGGCACAACAGAAATATACCTTGACACAGCATACAATAGCATAACACAGCATAATATAACATGATGCAACAACATGTGACAAGACATACACTACAATGAATCATTTCCCTTCCCCTGAGTTGGACCACGAGGACAGCCACGGCCTCTGTACCAGGTGTTTGGCATCATGTCGATGGCGAAGGACACCTCCCTTCGCTCCAGTTCTAGTTGGGTTTGTCTGAAAATAGTGTACCCCTAAACCCAATGGTTAATGATCATTATCCCTACTAAATGGCTATAATTGGGGGTATACCCCATTTTCAGACATACCCAGTTCGCTTCTGCCTATCATGGAAGATTTGGTGAGCGCGGGCCGATGCGGGCCCTGATTTTTCGTGCAGGTCACTCCATCGATTTTTCCACTGTCGTCAGTGAGGATGGCAGCTTTTAGCCTGTGGGATTTTCGGACAAAGGGATGACTCCATTTCCAATCAGCCAGATACCCTGCAAAAGACGACAAATTCTTAGCTGGTAGATATTCCTATTTGTAGCCAAAGATTATTCAGGATTAGTCCCTACCCATCCAGTTGGTTGACCTAGACTTTTGCTTCCCCCATAGGACCCAGTGCTCTTGGTGAATTCCTGCAAGTCGCCCTAACTGCACCTTTCTGAAAGAAATTGCTCTCTAAAATATAGCAACAGAAACGATCACAAAATAAATTCATACAATATGGTAAAAAGTTAACAAATAAGAACCAGCATATGACATTTAGTAACCAATATATGATATAAAATAAAACAAAAACATAACACATACAATGTATACAAACATGTTCTAGAACATATACAATAAAGAATCGTCAGCTGCAAAAAACAATGAGCCACAATATTATATGATATCATAGATATCAAACAAACATAACACAACAAAACACATAACTATCATATTGATATATTGTATATGACAATATATGACATTAAATACATTCGTATACCAAGTACTAAATCATTTTACCTTCTGGTAAACTAACATAACTATGGAAAATCAACATTTTTGATGGGTAAATCAACTATAAATGGGCAATTTTCAATAGCTATGTGACAGTCATTCCCAGAGGGTACTAAATAACAACGCCCCAGAAGGTGCTGAAAAAGTGTTTCCAGAATGTTACTTCGATGCCACAGGATGGTGGCCCCCAAACGTGATGTGAATGTTGATGAACATAAACCCCATGAATACTATAGTTATAAGTATGATAAACCATAGTTATTGGGGTTATAAACCAACTTAGCTATCTTGGGGGCCACCAAGTTTCCAACTTTTCGGCATCTTTTTGGGACTACGACTGGGCGGACGGCGTGGCGTTGTTGTCGGCTCCAGGACCACGGCTTTGCGTCGAAGGCGTTTCCAAGGAACTTTCAAGGAGATCGACGAACACCTGAAATCCGAGCACAGATGGCTTTCCTCCCCAATATATATATATATGTGTGTGTATATATATATGTATATATATGTGTGTTCCCGAATAGAATTGAAAATGACAGAAGCGGAACAAAGCAACTGCATCGGTCAGTCAGCACCTTTTGTTATGCAGTTGGCTTTGCGGCTGTGTTTCTGTCAGATGCCAATCGCATCAATCACAAATGGTTTCACAGAAACTCTGAACTGCAGTGGTGGTGTCACACGTCAAAATCCACCCAACCCGCCGGAGCGTGAAGCTCGCGCAAGTAAGGAAAGGAAAAAGAGGGTTGCAGGTGGGAAAACACCACTGTACACCATAAAGTCAGCCGCAACCACCTGGCTCCCGAAGGACCTTAGGTGGCGTGAGAGTCGGTCTTACGACGTTTTGAATTTCCTGAAAAGGTGGGGACACTCATCTGGTCATCCAGAAGGGCCCAGAGAAATTTAAAATGGGAAAAAGCTTCACTCACTGGTAGTCGTCGATCAGGATGAAAATCAGTGAAGTTTGGTTGGGTGAGTTCGTCCGCCCACTTGTTGTAGTCCCGCTTCATGTGTGAAGGCGCCAATTGAACCCCAGCAACATAGAGCATGGCGATGAGCTGCATTAGGAAAGCTGAGGTAGGCATGTGCTTCGTCTTCTGGTTCAACAGGGCAAAGACATTGCCTTGATTGTCTGAAATGAGGCTGAGACGGGTACGAAGCAGAGATTTCCCACCCAAAGCCAGAAGGAAGTGGGTAAGAATCAATGTACCAAACATCTCGAGGGTCGCAATGCGTCTGGTTGGATCACCATCCTTGTGAGCCCATGGATGGTCTTCGAGGGGTATCTTGTAATGGAACCACCAGGTCTGTTCCTTTGATGGGTTCTCACAATCTGCAATCCACCCCCCAATGTAGGCCCCATCGTCCGGGTGTGCACTAGCATCACTGGCACCCCACCAATTGGAGGCAGGGTCGTAAGGGCAGGGCTGGATCTGGGGGTTGTGAAGCAGCTGGAGGAGAAGCTTTGAAAAGGATCGTATGAGCTTGCCGGGCTTCCCTGAGGTAGTCGTCGCGGATTTCCATGCCCAAAATGGCTGAAGAAAAGGGCGACTGAGGGGCCAAGCTGCCGTTGCCCAATTTAATCGTCCCAGTGCTCTCTCAATCTCCTTCACCGTGAAGGTGTTGCCCGCAGCAATGGTCTGAAGGAGTGCCTCAAGTGTCTTCCTCTTATCTGGAGGGAAGTCGACCACGGGTCCGCATGGATTGACCTGGAAACCTAACCAGGTGTTGACCTCAGATAACACCGTCTTGTGCCAACTGAGGGGGCATCCCATGGCTGCTAAGAAGAGAAGCAGTTTTGCAGTATCCTCAGTGGCGGAGTCCGTCCTGAGGAGCCAACAAAAATCGTCCACGAACACAAAGCCCCAGTCTATGTGTGGAAACATCATGTAGCATAGTCTGAGGAGGAGTGCCGCCATTCTGCCCCAATAAAGTTGGGCGCTGGCCATACCATAGGTACCCACCTTGTTTATCCACCATTCACCATCAAGTTGTGCTACCTGGTAGCGCCATTCATTGGACTGGACCTTGATGCGGCGGTGTGCTTTTGAAACATCTGCTTTCAAAAGTGCCCAGGTGGTTTGTTTGTGTGGAGGTTGCCATGCCAGGTCGGTGCAAGACGCTACCGTCCCAGATGTCTTCTCCTTCGTGGTGGTTAGCCAGTGAATGGCTTGAACACAGTCCATCACTGTGGGTGCAGTGGTCTTCTCAACTGTGTTTTGTTGGATGTGTGAGTTTGCATGGCCCCAGCTTCCGTCGTAGATTGTGCGGATTTTATCTCCTTCGTCAATTGCCGCCAGGGGCCCTGGGCAGAGTTCATCTGGGGTGCATCCACAGCGGAGTGCAGCCTCCTCCTGTGTGAGTGGGCCCTCAACCATACCCATATCTACCTCTTCCACGAAGGTCTGTCGGACCTGAGAGGAGAAATCTTTTGCCGAGGGGTAGTTGTCCCTGCCCATGGGTATTAGGAGGTCCTCCCACAGAGGGGATTCTCCTTTGAGTTCTTCCTTGGTAGGCCATATACCTGGTGATGTCCAGGTGGGTGTGGTGACACCTAAGGGGACTCCCTTGGCAACCCTTGTGGGGTAGGCCGCATCTGCATCTCCACCAGCTTCCGCTAAGGCTGAGATGAGGTTCAGATAGAACGGCTGGCCTGGCTCCATCTCCTCAGCAATTTGGTAGTCCAGCCCGATCCCTTGGGCAATGGCCCGTCGTGTCTCCTGAAGAAGTTCCTTCGGGAACGGATGTTTTCTTTCACCCCTGTTGATGGACCGTTGGACGTCCTGTGCACATCCTTTTGCCAGGTGGCTAATGGAGTCTCCAATGTGCTTGATCTTGGACTGAGGTCTGAGCGGGGGAGGTCGTCTCCCGGCTGAGGGCTTACCTCCTCCATCCCGTAGAGGTCTAGTCTTGAAGCCTGATTGAACGATGATCGGGTCGTCATCCAAAGTCATCGTCTGGGAGAGGGGTACCGATGAGGAGCGGTCCGTCCGACCTGGAGGCTCCCCTTCCTGTTGGCACCCGTTGGGTTGATGTCCTGTGTTTGGAATGCTCTGGATGATTGCTGCTGCTAGCCCTGTCATCAGTGCTGGCGGGTACCTGCTGAGGTCCCGGGAGGTCATCTCCATTGGCCTCAAATGTCCAGAGTGGTTGCACTGGAGGCCTTGCCAATGGTGAATTGGAAGGTCCGTTGAGAAGGTTGTACTCTTCTGTGCCCTTTGTCCCAGTCTGCACTGGTCCAGGTGGATCTGGCAGTGATTTACCTCTTTGGCCCACTCCTGGTAGACTCTAGTGGCCCATATCGATGAACATTTTGCCGCCGTTGGTGCCCGACTACACTCAGCTGGGTCACGAGGGTGTTCCAAGAACGAGTGGAATCCTTTGTTTTGCCTGGCTTTTGCGGCTAGGGCAGTGATGACCAGTTGCCGGAGCAGAAGGATACTGTCCTTGTCTGTGTCCAACTGTTCTTCCAGGGAATTTGAGTCAAGGCCCCATGTCTGGGAGGGATCACGCCCTCGTACTGGCCTGGGCGCTCCAGGCTTTGGAAACCATCGTAGGATGCTCCAGGTCCGGCAGTTGGGGCCGCCCCCCACAAATGACAACTGGCCCCTCGCGGCGGCGCAGCAGAGAGTTGAGTAAAACTCATCATCCAATATGTCGTTTGGGCCCTTTTCTGGTGGCCTCAGGATGTCCACGGCAAGGATCCTGGGGGCCAGGTCCTGGTGTTGTTGGATGAGTATGTCATCCAAGGCTCCTCCGTCACTCCTGCCGGTGTAGAGGAGTAGTATGTCCCTCCCGTGGAGGCTCCCCGTGGGTTGTGTGGTCCATACAAGGCGTTCCAACAGCCTGTTGGGAACCGATGAGAGCCATGGACAGTGCCCAAGCAGGGATTGTCCATTCATGATCATCGTTGTATCAAGTGGTCGGCCCACTGCCTCTTGTTGTGTATGTGGTGTGCTTGTGTCGTTGGGGTAACCTGGGGGAGACCCCCCCGGTTCCGTTGTTGCTTGGTTTTTGACAGGTGTTGGGGTGTCCATCAACCCTGGTGGGTGATCGGTGCAAGACGCTACCGGGTCCGCCAGGAGTCAACGGTGTGGGCATTGCTCTGGGGTGTGTTCTGAGGGTGCGGCGTTGCATACCCAGCCATTCTTGAGGACCGGACAGTTGTGGGAGCGTCCGCAGTTCCCGGGACATTTCTTCTTGAGGAAGTGGTCACGGCAGTACTGTACTCCCTTGGGTGAGATCTTAGCCCAGTTTGAAGGCCATTCAGAGTCCTTCCCTTTTCCGGATCCCATGGCCCCTTTGGCCTTACCCCCTTTGGGTGACCCTTTTTGTTTGTTCCATTGTGGCTGAGTTGGTGACCACAAAGGTTGGCGTCCCTTTGACTTGGCTGGTCGTGTTGGGGAGTCAGGCCCGGAGCCTTTGTTGCCTTTCTGCCGGGCGACAGACTCATAGACCTCTCTGGTCCAAAACAGGGTGTCCTGACGTAGTTGGGCCATGGCCTCCTTGAGGCCCAGTCCCCCGTAGACCAAGTTGTGGATCTCCCTCCATGCGTTCCTTTCAGCGTAGAGGAGAACCTGTTCACTGGGAGGCGGTCTCCTATCCGCAATGTCTTTTCCCCAGAACCATCGGTACCAGTCCTCTAGGTCCCTATGGGTGATGTTCAGCTTCGGCATGCTGGGAAATGAGAGGATGGCCATGAGGAGGTTGGTTCGAAAGACCAGGTGCATGTGCTCCAACTGACGCCTCGTAGTTGGGAGTTTCCGTGTCTCCTCCTCTTCTTCCTTTTCCCATCCATCGACCGTCACTTTCTTGGTGGTCTTGATAGGCCGCTCATCCTGGTCTGGTAGGGCTGATATGATGTACTTGCTGGCAATCCAGCCAACTTCTCCTTGCGCACAGAGTTTGAACTGTTTCTTCAACAAGGCATCCGAGCCTTGATCCTCCAATCGTGGGAGTGGGAGCTGGACGACCACCGTCCATGTCTGCAGGAGCTGGCGTCGATCACACAGGGCATCCAGGGAGGGCGCCGCCTGTGACGTCGTCGGCAGTAGCCCTGCAGGTCCCACTCGGCCCTGGTTCAGGCCCCCAGTGCCCAGCAACTGTTGTGCTTGACGGACACATTGTGAAATGCGCATGGCCAGGTGATTCGTCTTCTCTTGTGTGATCAAAGCTCCCCCACGGTCTGTGTGACGGAACTGGAGGTCTGCTGGGGAGTTGTTCCGGGCCTCCGTGATGGTGGGCCATCGATCGGCAAGGTCCTCCACCGAGCGGTAGCCATCTGATGCCATCCTTGCCATGATGAAGTATGGAATCTCCTTGGACTGGAAGATAGTCAGGACTTGTTGGTGAAGCAATTCCACCTGATCCTTATATTGCTCGGGCACCGCATCAGGTGGGGAATCCAATACATCAGGCACCGCCGCCATGTTCGAA